TGTTTATTTTTTATAATTATTTCATTTTTTACTTTTTTAATCACCTTTTTATTTTTTTGTTTAATTATTTAATATTATTTTTTGAAATTTTTTATTAAAAACATTTTTTAAATCAATGTAATTTTTTTTTCATCTAACTTTATTGCTATCACACAGGAGATAACAAGCCCCTGTGTGGTAGCAAGGTAGACAGCTACTTCCTACGGCGTCAATCCACATTAACAGGACGCCGGTGGATTCATACCTCGCGCCCTGTATCTGACAGCTGGGGGGAGGAGTTGCGGCCCGTCACGACGTGATTGGCCGGCGGTCGCACAGTACGGAGCCGGTGGGCGGAGCCTTGGCACGCCCCGTCGTGATTGAACGGCGGCCGCACACTACGGTCTGCCGCCGGGCCACCTTACACCGGCGCCCGCAACTTCCCCACAAGGTCACCACTGCCGCCCCTTTGCGCTCTTCCGCCCCGAGGCCGGGCCTCGGTGGCCTTGTGGGAAATCCGGGCCTGCTCTTAGGCTGAGAGGGATGTGTAGTAGACTTGTGCGCCGTCAAAAAATTTGTTTCGTTTCGAAATATCCGTTATTTCGTAATTCGTGTCCGAAACTCAGTTTGGATTCGTACGAAATATGAATTTTCGTTAGTTTCGGCACATTTTCATAACTTTACGAACATTCGTTATGATGAAGTTAAAAAGCAAAATACCTTTGTTAATATTGGAGTCGATGTGGTAGTTGTTTTTTTTATCCGAAATACGAAATTCTGTTTTGGATCCGAATTTCGTATTTCGGATAAAAAAAAAACCCATCAACTCCAATATATTAACAAAGGTATTTTGCTTTTTAACTTCATCGTTAACGGAATTTCGGATTTCCTGCCTGTGTAATGCAACCCTCAGCAGCAGCGGGTCCGTATTTCGGATTAAAAAAAAATCTTGTCATGTTGTTCAACCTCATTTACAGGGGTAATATTAGTTCCCGTTTCAAAGAAATTTGAAACCAAAATTCGTTAACGGAATTTCGTATTTCGGATAAAAAAAAAAATTATCAACTCCAATATTAACAAATGTACTTTGCTTTTTAACTTCATCGTTAACGGAATTTCGGATTTCCTGCCTGTGTAATGCAACCCTCAGCAGCAGCGGATCCGTATTTCGGATTAAAAAAAAATCTTGTCATGTTGTTCAACCTCATTTACAGGGGTAATATTAGTTCCCGTTTCAAAGAAATTTGAAACCAAAATTCGTTAACGGAATTTCGTATTTCGGATATAATTCGGAAACTGCAATTCGGATTTCGGATGCTTCCGAATGTATGAATTTCAGGAAAATTCGTACGAATTTCGATTCATAACGAAACGAATCGCACATGTCTAGTGTGTAGCCAGACTGAGCTGACTGGGGGTATGTGACCACAAGCAACCACCAGAGGGAGCTTAGAGGATGCGACAGGCATAGGAACATTAGACATGCTCCTAATAGATAATACCTAGAATTCAAAAGCAGGCCACACACTTACAGGGTCACAAAAGAGTGAAGAGTTTGGAGGAGGCAGGAGAAGTGAACAATCTAGGACAACATAGCTGAACTGGAAAGTGAGCTGAATTGGAGAATTTTTCCAAATCAGCGATTTTGGCCTAGATTGTTCCCTTATTATTATTTAGATCAATAGATTTCTCCGTCCACACTAAACAGCAAGGATGAAAGAATCTGTATTATGAGCTATTGCTTCCATGGCTGTCTGAATACCAAAAGAGTGATTGCATCCCAGAGGATGCAGTCACTCTTCGGCTCATAATTTTCCACCCAACATAGTCGATTCACCAGTTATAGGCCGTAATTTGAGCAGTGTATGGCTAGTAATGGGTTCTGTTTGTATGTAATAAACTGACATGGTGCAAAAAGGCAAGGAAGAAGCCAAGGTGCTTTCAGAAGACCTTGCCGACATTGGCCAGTTGCGACCAGATCTGTAGGTCTTCCTGACCATCAAAAATGTATGTTTGTACAGCAGTCTTTTGTAAAACAGATGTTTTGGCCCCCAGATCATCTGTGAACAACTGGCCATCATCCAGTGGTTGTAGATACCTTTGCTGAGGAATGGTCTCTTTCAGCATTAGTGATAAACATCAGTTATGTGCTACCTTTTGGTCTGCTCAATATTCTATTAGAATTTTGTTAAATCTATTCAATATCCTACCAGAAATCCAACTCTGTCCTGAGCACTCTGCAATGTTATTTGAAGTTGTGTTGCTGGGAAAGAAATCAATGTATGAATGTGGAGTGGGACAGAAAAGAGTTGGGAATAGGTGAAGCATTGTAGTCCAGCAGGCAGTGCTGACAACACTGTTTTGGATTTCAGAAGAGCAGAGTCACTGTCTTGTCAACTCAAACGTATGGTGCGGTAGGAGCACCCTGGATTTCTGGTAGATAAGCAGGCATTTTTCTGTACTTCCAGCATTTCAAATAGGATAAAATATGGGGAAATGTAAATGTTTTATCAGTTTTTTAATTTGCCCATATATACATTTAGATTGTGAGAGCTTAATGACATCCTCGTCGATAGCAATTATATGGCAGTGTAGTGCACTCTTTAACCAGTTGACATCCGCGGTGTTAAACCCCCTTCCCATCCAGGCCATTTTTCAGTATTCAGCGCTGCGGTACTTTAACTGACATTTATTCCGTCATGCAGCGCTGTACTGAAATGAATTTTATACCCTTTTTTGGGGACAGATAGAGCTTTCTTTTGGTGGTATTTATTCACCACTGGGGGTTTTATTTTTTTACTATATTAAGGAAAAATTACCAGCGCGCGAGCAGAAAAAAATTGCCGTCTGGAGACGGCAACCCGCAGATGCTGCAGTGCCGTCCGTCCGTTTTTTTACTACGGGCGGACGGCAAGAGGTTAACCTCACCAAGTATGTCTAATGATCTGAAGCGGTTATGAATTATACATTGTATATAATAGACTTCATCCTTTGTATAGCTGGAGCCTATCATCGAAGACTTTTGGAACCCCATCCTCATGTGAAAGTGTTCACGCTTTCTCTTCTGTGGGCACCAATAGCAGGGCAGTGGAAGGAGCACATTGAAGGTAAGTAAAAGCTGCCTAGGATGCCTCAGATAAAGTAAGCATGTTTTTTTGCCTATTATTGTCAAATGACTATACATTTTGCCTTAAGTTATATAATACCTTGAATCCCTGGGTATTTCATCATGAGCAGCAGACCCCAGCGCAGAGTGGTTGATGTTGTCTCCATTCCAGCGGCAAATAAATTCCTTAGCAGTCTTGTTAGGTTTTCATTATGGAAGTATGAATGAGGGCTCCCAGCCTCCTGCAAATAATGATGGTAACGCCGAGAGCGAGGTGAGCATTTCCCTGTAACCAGCCATCTGATGGTGAAATACTGTAGTGTAGAATGTGCATATCAAATACAGTGGTGCTTAAATGGTCAGTCTTCAGTCTGATTTGTTATCTTCTAGTACCAGGACCTTAGTGTCATGTCATGTCATGTCAACACAGGGGGTATGCAGAAAAACCTCATGTTTTCAACTAGGCCAGCGAAGGAGAAGTATACACAGCATGAGACTCATTAGATCTCATCTTTTGAGTCTCCTTGGAATACCCTTCTGGCTGGACAAATCCTTTACTATTTACATTGGCCAACACACATTTTGGTGCCTTGAATGTTTGACCTGTTCCTGAGTATATTTGACCCGCTGATTCCAAAAATTGTACCAGTTTTCCTTTATCAGTATCCCCCTGCAGTTCTTGAGATACAGCATAGATGCCATATACCACTCTTCACTCTGATGTCTCAAAAATCAGGATATTTTAATGTAGTGTTTTATTTAATAACCTTGTAGAATGAAGCAAGCTTGGAGCATTTTTTTTTAAAATGACATTGTTTCAAACCAAAAGCACAGGTATATGATACAAACACTCCCATCATACAACACAGAAGCTCCTTTTGTAAGACATCCAAGACTGGGATCTGCCAGGACAATCCCGCATAAGGTTCCAATAGTAATCTGCCATCAATGTGTGCATTCTATCTTCCTTGGTATCTGCCTTCTATTGTTTTTATGGTTTGGTGAAATCTTTCACATTGCTCTTGACTTAAGTCACCAAGGTTCTCTGGAAATCAACTGTGCAGATAATGGATTTTAACACTCATTTTACAACCAAGCCTGTTGAAATGAAAGAACATCTCCTCTACTAATTGTCTGCCGTCTTGTTTCCAAGGAAGTTTTTCAGAAGCACAAATGAAGACCAGGCAAAAAAATCAATTTCATTCATTGATTCTATGAAATGTAGGTCATTTATGATTTGTGGACCATCAAAAATTCCTGCCTTCAGTTTTTCCATGGCAAGTCCAGGTAATTTATGCGCTATGTAATCATTGCACAAACTATCTTTATTCAAACCCTTTACAAATTGTTCATCAGGCCTAGCTTTATATGTAATGGTGGCAGGATGAATCTATCTCGTGCTACCAAAGGTGCATTGATTACATTTTTTGCTCCAACTACCATGTCTTCCTTTGGAGGCCAATCTTTTCTTACCCAATGCTCATGTTTGGCTCTACTGTCCCAAACGCATAGAAAGCAAGGAAACTTTGTGTAGCCACTTTCTTGACCAAGAAGAAAATGAACAATCTTCAAATCTACACAAATCACCCATTGATTTTTATGATAATGTATATTTTCCCACACTAAAGAGATGGCCTTGGACTCTTCTTTCATCCTGGTGGAGTGACCGCTTGGATTGGAGCCATATTTGTTGTTGTAGTTTAAAATAATACATTTCAAATTACATTTCAAACTGTCAATAAAAAGGCGCCATTCACTTGGGTTATACTTACCCTCTAGAATCCAATGTTTCCGATGTAATAGTACAGTTAGAAGTATGTAAACACTCTCACTATATCTGCTAACTTGTATGCAAAAATTCAGACAAGGTAATAGAACAAGTTGATCAGCAAGATCTTTTAAAAAAATTACCAAAAAATTATATAAATTCGAAAGAGATCGAAAGAAACTTGAGCTGATGCAGTCTAGCTAATGCAATTATCTGAATCAGCACCCCAGATAACCCCAGGATCAAGTCTAAGAAGCAAGGCACCAAGAAAAAAATATTTTTTTATGTTGGGCTGTGTTATTTTCAGCTTATATAATTTGTAAAACATAAATTTACCTCTTTTTGCTTCACAAGAAATGCATCAATTAAGCTTCTCTGGTCATTCTCATCTAAGTTCTTCTGATATTTTATGAATGTTTGTGTAAAAAATTCACACATTTCTTCTACATTTTTTATGATAGTTTTGTGGTTGCCAGGAAGAAAGCCCAAGAATGGGAAAATATTGTATAACTGTTAAAACAAAGAATAAATAAAGCATTTTAATTGTTAGGTTACATTGGTGATGTATTGACATTTTTTAATCATGGTTATGGTAAACAATAGACATTTGCTGGGCAAAATAATTAGTTTTCAGACAAAACAAATGAAAATGAAAAACATTTTCATTCATTTTGTCAAAGGAAACACATTTTTATGTTGTGTCAGATTCCGAGGCAACGAGCCTCCAAATCCAAAACCGCACACTGAAACTGTACAACGAGCGGTGGCCATAAAGGCCGCCGGCACATTCTGCCCATGCGCATCACCATCTTGGAGTGTATCTTGGTATACACCAAGATGGTGGCGCCTGCATGTTCGAGCGCCGACATCTTGGTGTATACCAAGATATACTCCAAAATGGAGGCGTGCATGTGCGGAACACGCCTGCGACCAATATGGCCACCACTCGTTCAGCATGTGATGTCACCGTCATGTGACAAAATATGCTCCGCCTTCAAGATGGTGGTGGGCATGCACAGAACACGCCGGCGGCCAATATGAAAATTAATTTATGTATTCCCCAATATAGTTTTTGTATATTCACGCATATAATACATTTGCTGGTGATCACTAATCACCAGCAAAGTGTCCTTTATTTCCATCATAACACTTGTACTTGTAGCCTGATGGTTAAATCATTATTCTCTGTGTGATGTTTACTAGTGATGGGCCGAACACCCCAGTGTTGGGTTTGAACTTTAGAACAAGCAAAAAGTTTGAATTCGAACTCAATGCAAGTCTATGGGGGTAGAACTTTGAAAATCAATTGTCCCCTTTTTTGAAGCCGTATATGCAAGTTATTGGCCATAAAAAGGGTATGGGGATCCAGGTACTGCGCTGGGGGACAGGAATCAATGAAAAAAAATCTTTAAAAAAAATAGATTGGTAGAATGGGGGATCCCCAGACTGGGGAAACTGAAGTGACCCAGACCCCAAAAGTTCAAAACTGGATATGTGTCCCCAAGGGGTATAAAACCCAAATTGTACAATAAAGAAGAGGGATGAACTCCTTGGGAAAACAATACACACAAGATATTATATATAAAAGTAACACATTTTTTTAACAAACTACATTAATCACCTCCCATCCATGGCCATTCCTGAACGGCTGGATGGGAGTCTTGTAGGAGCGGGAGGGCATCTTAGGACGTCCTGCCTCTCCCCCCGCTCGTGCGTGGGGCTCAGCGCGCACACGAGTGAGGAACTGTTAGCAATGTAAACAGCCAGCGATGGCTGTTTACATTGAAGTGATTGAGCATCTCTAGAGATGCTCTATCGCTTGCAGTAGCTGCGGGTGTGCCCCGCCGTACCTACGTCGCCGCTGTCGGTCTCGAGATCCGCTGTGCACGGTGCGGCTGAGACCGGCACGGCGATGCTCTCAGTGGAGATTAAAAGGGAGATCAGTACACAATATCCCTTTGATTTCTTCTCAGTCCCTGAATGCAGGAAGTGATGTATAATACCGCGAACGTCGCAGTGAGAGCAATAATTAATCGCTAATAACATTAAACTGATGAGCGGTAAAAGCTTTTAAAGTGTCATCTATGGCCAATTTTGGGTATGGTCGTTTTCTGCGATTTCACGGGCGCACGCAATTTTAAATTTGACATGTTTGGTGTCTATTTACCCGACGTGACCCCGACTTTTATATTTTACCAAAAAATTGTGGTGATAATGTTTCATAATATTTCATAGGGAAACAGGTTTTTTTTTACAAAATTTAGGATACCTTTTTCGATGTATAGTAAAAAATAAAACCCCCCAGTGGTGATTAAATACCACCAAAAGAAAGCTCTATGTGTCCCCAAAAAATTGTATAAAATGTATTTCAGTACAGCGTTGCACGATGGAATAAATGTCAGTCAAAGTACCGCAGCGCTGAATACTGAAAAATGGCCGGGACAGGAAGGGGGTGTAAACACACCGGTCAGCAAGTGGTTAAAGGTTTAAGTCTGAACACAGTTGTATAGGTGAAAAGGTTAAGCTAAATAAAAATGGTTAAAACTAGGAGGTATATATTACCCCAACCATCCGAGTTCCCAAAAGTCGAATATTTTCATTTGTCAAACTCATAAGCCTCTCAAATTGTGGATCTTCATAGTCCATTCGGTGTTCAAGTAATACTGCCACAATGATATTAGACACCGCGGCATTTACCATCATCTGATTATCAAATGGTTTTCCTATAATGAGAGTTGAAAGCAAAAAAAAAAAAAGTAAACCACTATGATGTAACGCTGGCCAAGGAAATGACATTGTCTGTGTTGTAACCAGTCAAATGTTACCTTTGAAAGATTCAAAACGTTTAATTAGGAAAGAAGATTCTTCAATAATTTTCTCTTCGATGGAACTTTTCCCCATTCCGAAATCACGCAAGGTCGTCAGTGTAAATCTTCTCATCACCTTCCAGTTTTCTCCACGTGAGTGAATAACTCCTGAGAGATTTGACATGGTGAGAATACACCTTTACTTAGAAGGCAGAAACTCTGTGGAAATGCAGTAACGTTACTATTGGTCCCCATTTCACGGGGACAATCCCCATTTTGAAAACTCTATTTGTAGGAGACAGGCATCCCTGGAAATGTCCCTAGCTGCAGAGAATGCAGTGCAACTTTGTTATGATCTTTTTTTTTTTGCCCTGTGATGTCATGTGCTGTCTCCGTCTTCCTGGGCTGTTTTGCCGATTTGCATGATCTGCTCTGCACTGTGGCCACCTGTCCACCACTGCAGACTGGCTTGGAAATATGGCCGCCATCTTGTGAGCTGGACTGTGGTGCTGAGGATTATTAATACATTCTGGTGTTTAGTGTAAGACCCCAACCTAAGTAATACGAAAAATATTCACTGGGGCCAAAAGTAACTGCTTCTGAGATAATCTCCTGAGGCACGGGGGCAGCTCCTCACAGTCAGGGGAAACCGGATATCTGATAGGAGAAAAGCAAAAGGAGTGGCTCCATAGTGTAAAACCGATTTATTGCATGTTCAAATGACAGTCATTTGAACATACAATAAATCGGTTTTACACTATGGAGGGGCTCCTTTTGCTTTTCTCCTATAAGACCCCAACCTCCTTGAGAGTCTCAACCCTGCCCCTCCTTCACTTTACATCACCTCACCTCGGTTCCTCCCTCACTGTCTACTGTATATCACCACACCTCTGCCCCCCCTCACTGTATCAGTGAGGGGGGACCGAGCAGAACGCTCAGCGGCATTCGGCTCGGCTGTTCTGCTCGGTCCCTCTGTGGTATCGAGCAGAACAGAAAAATAGTTTAAAAAGTAGAAAAAAATAAATAGAAAACGATTGTGCGGAGCTAGCAGTTACAGCTAGCTCCGCCCAACTGTTTTCTATTGGCCGGCGGTTCTGCTGCCGTCAACAATAAGAAGAAAAAGAAACTCTCCCGGGCGCTCTAGGAGTCTCCCGCTCCCGGCCACCAAGGAGAGAAACACTGCCTTTTCTTTTTTTTTCTTTATTCTGACACGGAGCCGTGTCAGAATAGAAGAAAAAAAAATTACCATAGGAATGCATTGCTAGATTCCTATTGGCTATCTCAATTTGCAATAGCCAATAGCAAACTAGCTATTGTACCCGCCCTCTGCTGCTGTCAATCAGTAGTGGTGGACCTGATGGAGAAATCAGCAGCCCTTCGGTTCTACGTAACCGAAGGGGTCCTGGGGCCGAAGCTAGCCGAAGGATTGGCCGAAGCTACGGCTAGATCCTTCGGCCGCTTCGTGAATAGACCCCTTCGTTTTTCGGGATTCGGGTCCGAAAGTCAATTCGTTTCGAGATTCGGATTCGGCCGAAATTCGTTAGCAGTAGTCTGTACGAACGTTTGTAGCCGTTTCATTTTCGTTTTGTTGCAGCAAAGTGACATTTTAAAAAAATAAAAAATTTTAGTCAATTTGCTGCAACGAAAATGCATCCACAAACGGAAATGCGTAGAGACAAATGCTAATGAATTTCATCCGAAATGTCATTTTTGGAAATTTGGATTGGTTTTCTTTCGCCATTCCTGTTATTCGGAAATTTGGATGCATCCAAATCTCCGAATAACGAAAATTTGTCCAAAAAAAAAAATTTTACGAAACGATTCGCACATGTCTAATAGAATCCCTGCCGTAAGATCTCGATAAAATTTGAGAATGGGCAGCTAGGTGGCAGATGAGCTTTAATCTAGAAAAATATAAGGTAATCCACTTGGGAGCTAAGAACATGCATGCTGAATATACCTTAGGTGGGGTTTCACTGGGGATAACGGAGGTGGAGAAGGATCTTGGAGTCCTAATAGACCATAGACTCAGCAATGGCATGCAGTGTCAAGCTGCAGCTAGTGAAACCAGTAGTATATTATCTTGCATCAAAAGAGGGAATTATTCACGGGATAAAAATATAATTTTGCCACTTTACAAAACAGTGCTAAGCCCTATCTTGAGTACACGGTGCAACTCTGGTCCCCAATCCTCAGAGGAGGGCAACCAAATTAAGAAGGGGGATGCAGGGTCTGAGTTATCAAGAGCGCCTACAAAAATTAGAATTGTTCTCCTTAAAGAAGAGATGCTTAAGAGGTGACATGATCACAGTTTACAAACTCATCAATGTGGACTGCAGTATTGGGAATGCATTACTAAAACCAAATATCTCGAGGAAGACACGGGGGCACACCAAAAAGTTGGATGGGAGGAGATATAATCATAGACTGTGTTAGGGATATTTTACTTTGATTGGTAAAACTGTGGAATTCACTGTATCATTGGGAAACATACACTGCTTCAAAAAACACTTGGATGAGTTCCTCAGTTCACAAAACATACAGAATCCCCGATGTCTTGGGGGAGTGGCCTGAGCACAATGGCGGCTGGACGTGCTTAGTGTGAGCTCCGGATGCCTCTCCCTCGATAATAGACCTCCCGAATACCTAATCACCTAATACTCATCTTAACGACGGCTGCTGTGATACACGATGGGGAAGAATACTGGACCTGGTTCCACGAAAGCTTTGAAGGCGGGAATCAAGCGGCTGAATCCCGGAATCAAACGCAGAGCTCCCTTGCTCGAACTGACCCGTCCCCCGGACCGTCCCCACGTGATCGCACTGCAGATTCCTCTAGATCTGAAACAGGAGACGAGCGGGAGCAGAGCTCGTTGATGCCCTCCATGGACGAACTGGTGAGGGCTCTCCCGACCAAGGAAGATCTTACTATTATGCTCAGCGGTCTGGAGCAATCCCTGAAGATGGATATTCTGTCCCTAAGGGGAGAGGTAACACACTTACTGCAGCGGGTAGAGGAAGGAGAAAACCGTATGGACTCACATCTTAAGGTAATATCTTCCCTGCAAACGCAGGTATACTCCATGGCCTGTACCCAGAGAACTGTGTCTCATTACTTAGAGGATTTGGAGAACAGAGGACGCAGGAATAACCTGCGGATTCGGGGGCTGCCAGAAATTACGAAGGGCTTGGACTTAGGGGAGACCCTTAGGAGGCTCTTTAATAAAATATTGGGAAGAGATTTGACTGCCCCTTTGTTGTTTGACCGAGTCCACCGAACATCTTACCCCCGTAATAGGACTTCAGATAACTTTGGGGATGTTGTTTGCCACCTGCATTACCTATCGGATAAGGAGGCCATATTGCGGGCTTTACGGGAACACCCTGAAGTGGACTTTAACGGAACTTATATACACATATACCCGGATCTTGCCAGGGAAACTTTGGTGCGGCGTAGGGCGCTGCGTCCACTCCTGGAAATATTACAGAAAGCAGACATTAATTACAGATGGGGTTTCCCCTTCTGCCTAACAGCTAGGAAAAATGGAAAAACTGCTGCCCTTAGGTTCCCAGAAGATCTGGGACAATTCTGTGAAGCTCTATCTATCACTATACCACTGCTACCGGACTGGCAGGATACGGTTCCAGTCATAGAACCGATATCAGATGTAGCCTGGGCCCCGACGATGCTTCCACTAAGCCGACCCACCAGTTAACCTGATGATACTTAAACTATAAATATAGATGGGAGGCGGTGGAAGAAAATAATTATAATATGTATACTATCCTTTGCTGCCCTTTGCTATATCCCCCCGCGCCGACCACGATCTGGGCAGGGGGCGATGGGGCAGTGGATAGCACCTTGGATGGTAATAGTGAATTTCTCTGTGTATCTTTCCTTTTTTTTCCCTCTTGTCGAAAAGCACTATGAATAGGGAGG